ACTGCTTTATCACTGTCGGCCCGAGAGAGCATGGAGTGGAAATAGTATTAATACATTGACGGTGAAAATGACATTAGTGATGCCGTGGTGCTAGTGTTTTTGTAATTTCGTATTCTGTCTATTTCTGCGATGGGCGTTGTTGTGTGATATGATTATTCTACGAGGGCAAGTCGACGACGTGCCGACTGCCGAGACGTACATAGAAAACCGTATATAGATCATATAATAAGTTATATGTATAAAAGATCCCACGACGTGCAACGTTCGGGGCGTCCCCCTCCCTACCACACTAGCAACGCACCGAAAGATAGCACGGAATCGAGACACGAGAAAAGATTAAAGCAGCCTTATCATCAACGCATAAAATGGGACTCGGCACAAACGAGTTCTTCCGTTTCTTGATCCTCAAATTTTTCTTCTTACATCTTCAGATCTTCTTATCTACAAAACGTATTTACTTACGTGGTTGAGAGGAATTTCAAACGCAAAACAGACGTCCTATGAATCGTCTGCGGTGGGGACGCCCGCGCGATATCTGTTTTCAGGAATTTACGCGGGCGATCGACACAAGCATGACGGCGGGGCGGCGGCGCCTGACAAGTTTAACGGGCTACTCCGATACGCGGCTGCGGGCATAGCGACCCGACTCTGCGGCACCAGCCATCTACTGACGAGAAACGAATCTGAAAGGATTGCGATAACACGACTATCTCCTGTTCGATGAGTGTCTACGAAATTCCGCGAGCGAACATTTGGACTTGGTGAAAGTTTCGGCCATGTTTGCAGTTCGATTGGGGGTGCGTTTCGAGTGTTTCGACTGAGTTCATGGAAGAAATGCAGCGCGGGCGCGGCTGTTTCCATGACGCTATCGGGTTGACAATGCGCCCGAGCACGAGGACTGGCGCGCGCGGTCACGATTGCGGTGGCCTTGTCGACTGTCGTTGTCACGGCGCCCGTCTGTCTGACGGACCATGGTTAACATTACGAATTTAAAATTAAGACGCGCACTACCCGGATTCCCGCGCCTTCCTTTCATCATTATATTACATATAGATATTATTACAGTGTTACACATATTAAGCTAAGCCACCCAGTGTTGAAGGGAGGTGTGGCAAAATAAGTTGATAGAGTGCTGAAGTCTCCACTTATTTAAGGAGCACCATATCCAAAGATAAAATATATTTTGTTTTTGTATATTAAATATTTGGTATAAAAAAATAGATGTAAAATTTTAGTTTTGCTAGACATTTTATCAAATCACCATCTAAGAAGATAGTAATACAATGATATAGACTGTGTGATACACATTCCTATATTTTTGTTGAAGCTAAAACAACTCTAAGATTGTATTGCATAATTGTAAATTAATGTATAATCTCGATACTTACCCATTATTTAATAAATGTTTAGTTATTACTTATCTTGGGTTCAATGGGTTCTTATGTTGATATTACAAATTTTAATAATGAAAAAATCTGTCGTTTAAAAAACGATTGATAGCTGAATAACGGACGGAGCTCATAATGTATAACAGTTTATGTTCAGATTTCACTGTGCTATAGTTGTTTACCCAATGAGTAAAGTAATGTGTTAAATTCTAAACTTTCCCAAATAATATGACTACATGTCTATATCTTTAAAGTACGAAGAATCCTTATTTTCTGATAAATAAAAATATATCTACTATTTAATGTAAATATCTTTTCAAGAAAATAATAATTTTAAGACTAAGCCATATTTTGAGCTTTGTTGACTGCCATATAACCAAAAAAAATCCTAGTGAAAATAAATTTATATCCTGCTACTTTTAGATTATAACATGCAAATAGCGAGGAAACGAAATTATTGTTATATTGGTCTACTTAATTACCTTCATAATCTACAATTTGCAACCATGTTTTATTTCGGTTAGTAACACATTTATACAATATACACTAAAATCCAACTAAATATTTTATGTACCAACCATATTCTCTATATATGGAAAATAATTACTTAGATGTTATTTAGAAGTTGTAATTTTTCGATGTCGTATTGAGTTTCTCTAAAAATAAGGAAAAACTACTGTATAATTTCGATAAACGTCAAAGGAATCACGACAGACGTGGGCTTTATTTGTACTCAAACACGTTTTATGATCACTGCAATGATTAATAACTGCTTTCCAATTAAATTACTGTACACTGCTCGTCACTGCTGTTACAGCGTGCCTGGCCATTTAATGTTTAGCAAAAGGTTAATTTTCCTGCTTATATTGTTATCTGTAATAATACTTTTGGAAATCGTATAACTGCATTATAATTTATTAATTATTAATTTATGATCATAATTAATAGCCAGTTAGCACTAGATTGCTGCATATGAGTAAAATATAGCTTTTCATTGTATAGCACAGACACACAGGGGTTATCAACTTTTTACAACAAATAAACTACCTACATTAAAAATATTTAAGTATTAAATTTGTTGATCGATCACAATTTATTTAGGGATTTATTTAAAAAAATATCATGAAAGTCGTAAAAAAAAAAAATTATAAGCCTATTCATAATCATTTTTATACTGTTAGCATGACAAAAATATGTATTTTATTGTGTAATTTTATTATTTTTTCACGTATAATATAGGTTCTTATTCCTAAGTAATAAGTAATTTTAAATAATAATAATAATATGTGTTAAAATCTAAGTGAAAACCCCACTATACGCGTGTGCCGTATACACGTAAAAGGTTTAGCTAATATGTCCAACAACATGGTAAAATGGTTAATCATATGGTAACCTAACCCAACCAACCAATCACAGCAAAGGATTTACGCAAACGTGTATAGTGGAAATCCGCCTTAAGCAAGAAAAGCTTAAGACAGAGAAAGCAACAAATATCTCAGCGAGTACTACTACCTATATTCGATTGCGTACAATTTATTATTTACTTAATTTTAATTTTGTGCCACACAATAAATTTCAATATCAACAATTGATACTTATAATTATAGAGATATTTGTTATTGTATTAAATTACACCATAGCACATTGTTAGATATATGTTTTTTAGTATGATTTCGTGAAGAACCGTGAATATTCATATTATATTACATTTTAAATTTGATATAAATAAATATTTTCCATGTGCCTATTATATATTTAAAAATATTACTTTATGTTAATCGATGACAAGTATAGAAAAAAATAGAAAACAAAATCTATATTAAAACAATTTTCTAAACAATATTATTTCCGGAAATGACACATTATGCAGCAACTCGATGTCAAGTGTCAACACAATAAAACCTTTAAAATGTGAACAAATAATTTATTAGTTCTTATTTTACAAACATTTTCCTTTTCTAAAAATAAATAGGTACTTATTTAATTTTTAAAAGTTCAAAGTATTATTTCCTGAATTGTCTGAGTTGTTTGCAACAGAAAATTTCTATTCTGGAAAAATGCCGTTTTTGGAAATATCATGTTTTGCGTAGAAAGTTTTTTTATACAACGCCATCTACGTGGTGTGTATTCGATATAATTTTGTATAAGATTTGTATAATAAGAATTTTGTATTAATATGTTTATAAATGTTTGTACTTGTATATAGGCAACCTATTGTACATATTCTTATTAATGACTAGGTCAGTAATTACCATGATATTATAAACAACATGTCAACATAGTATGATTGTAAAAGTCCAGACTTTGTTTAAGTTCGAGCAATTCGTCACGTCTTGCTTACCTATGTTATCACATTGTCAGATTGTCTTTAAATTATCAATTATTATTACTACACACTGCACGCCTTCACTATTTCCAGACGAAGTGCCTGACGAAGGATCTGATTTCGAATTTCCGATCATATAATGTTGTTTATATGTCATGGTAATAACTTGAGTATATAGTGGTCTCTTAGTTATAGGTATATAATATAATATAATGTATGGATGAAATTAGCATTATTGTAAATTAAATTGTATAATACTACTCGCCTATATTATTATAGCAAAGATATTTATAGGTACTTTTTCATTCCACGGCTCCTTTTTGACTCCACGATATTTAACGACTCCCAAACTATTTATGACTTTTTTTATCAACGATGTCGGTCGATGGGTAAAATTCGGACGATAAACAATAATGATTTTAATCCTGTCAGAAGCCCTCCACCCAGACAACATAAGACAAATAATAACCTTTATTACCAAGTCCAACCTTATCAATAGTATTTAAAAATGTAACTTATATAAGATGTAAATAATTTAGTTACCGAGGTTTAATTCAAATGAAAAAAAAAAATGATTTTAGTACTATAGAAATTCAACCATAAATTTTGATAATCACCATTGTGAATAAAAATAATATTTATATATCATATTCATTTTGGTTTTCAGTTATTTTACACGGCCCTCTTTGCCTCTTTGCTAATTACCTCGATGCCTTGTAAAACCCAAAATATTTTATCGTTATTATCAGAATAAAAAATAATGGTATATATAATTTAACATTTTGTTGTAATTTCTATAGAATTGCCTAGATATGAAATCCAATTAAAATAAATATATCTACCTAAGTACTGATTATATTTATAGCACATGTTTTGTTTCAATTGAATGGTGATATAATTTAGCACGTTTATAAACATTTTATAAACAATTTATAAACATGTTATAGGTACTCACTCGACTTTTATTCAGTAATTCAAATATTTATGATTCTATATTATACTTTTGTTTAAAAATAAACTTCTATAACCCTAAACATAGCACAATAAAATACACAAAATGCGCATTGCCTGAAAATTAAATAAATATAACATCATATTATAAGCAATATAAATTTAAAAAAAAATAACACAATATACATAATAATTTAATTTTTAATGGATTATATAATAATATAATTGATTCCTTATGCGGTAATTATATTTTATAAGTACCGTTTTGTATCGGATATAAATACAAAAGTTATAATATAAAGATCTATTGTGTAGAATAAATAGTATAAATCGTATAGAAAAAAAGAAGAAGAAAAATAAWTAATTATGATTTTTATTGAGTTGGTAGGTAAAAAATATATTGTATTCAAATGATATGTGTGTCGTGTCAGTTTGTGGTCGTTATCGTTGTTTTATACATTAAAATATATACTTTTTACCTCACTCAATAATTATCCTATAATTATTACACTTCGATGGTGAATGTATCACGATTATAAATAATTTTTTACACTATGGTTTTATTTTGGTGTTCTACTGAAAACGATGTGCCAAATGAGCATTACAAAAAGAAATTACATTTGAAAAAGTAGAGTAGTTATAATATTGTAGCTGAGTGGTTACAGGTGATGTGTATTCATTATTTATATACACAGACACCTAAATATATGCGGCGGTACATTGGAGCTATATATGTATATACAGCGTGTTTCAGAGGTTATGATATTTCGTATTTGTAAGTGTAAAAGAAAATTATTTTTTTTTTTTATCAGATATACTCAATTAATAATCTTAAGATGAAAACTAGCTAATCCCGTGTTAAAATCATATTACAGAAGAAAAAATATCGCACGTTGTCGATAAAAATATAATATACTAGCAAGGTATAGGTAGCGCTCGTCTGCATTTGAAATTATACCAATTTGTGGCTTTTACTATAATCTTTTTTTGCCGATACTGAGACGAATACTGCGTCGGACACTTAAAATGCATACTTTTGTGCATCATAGGTATATAGCTGAAACACCCTGTGAATAATTATATGTCGCTCATTAAGTGTTATATGTATTATGAAACGGTAGTTGAAAAATCGTACTAATACAATGATGATGCGTGTACATTAAACAATGTATAAGAATGGATATTTTTAAAAACTTTGTAAGAATAGTAGTAATAATGAAGTTTTAAAGAAACACTGGTACTTATATATAATAATATAATGATATAAACAACTTAAACGCCGTATAGAAGACGCACTAGGCGATGCGGTAAAATACTCAGCGTGTCGGTTATTATAACCAATACCTACCTACATCACGTATTTAAGATGAACAGGTATTACAAAATATGTATTATGCTTGTCCGTATACTAATTGAATCTCGGAGTCGGGCCGTAAAAAGTTACTTATAATAAATTAAGATTAAAATGTAATTATAATAATATTATTATGAAAAAGTCGTACGTCTTAATAATGTGCGATAATAAACAAGCAAAAACCGGGAATAAAATTGCGTAGCTAAACAAATAAGAAAACAAATATGGCGTATTATAATGGCTCATTGGGCACGCGTTGTTTAAGACAAAAGATATATTCAACACATATTTATAATGATATATTTTTAATGTAATACATTTTGTATAACTAGATAATATTAATAGTAATAATAATAATAATAATAAACTTTAATATTAAAAAGATATGTTTAAAGTTGTACATGATATGATATGTATAGTGTTAGCTTTATTTTTGATATGTATTAGGTGATTCAAAACCGAATGTATACGATTAAAATAGTATAATGTTATATTATAAAGTTCGTTTTAATTGACCGAAAATAATTAGGGAAGTTATGTTTGGAATACCGTGGAATTATTGACGAAAGGAGTGGACGAAATAATATTATTATTTTTTTTTTAAATCTTGGATGGATATTCGTATATAGGTAGGTAATATAAATAGGAATAGAAAATTACAGAGGATATTATAATTGTATACAAATCCGATATTTTTTTAGTAAATTAATCTAGAAAGCCGGTGTTGACTAGCTTTTCGAGGAAAAACTTCACATCGCCTAGTTCAGAGTCTTTGATGCCCAGGCTCTTTAACATGCCGATATCGCCGTTCTCGACGGCGATGAATACCGAACGCAAATGCTCCAAGTCAGATCTCATTAGATGGAGAGCAGCACCGAAGTCCTCGATTGTTTGTGATTCTGTAAGCACAATTTTATTATATACGCGTTACACATTTATAGATTAATTAAATATTATCATGCTATTTAAATTTTATATTTTTGTTTGGATATAAAAGAACGATTCGTTAAATCCGTAACAAACTAGACACCTACCTACTCGTATATTAGTTATTATCGACTATTGTAAACAATAAGTACAACAATATAATTATGTGTATAGTTTAACCTGGAGTCGGCAGGAGTCTCCGGATGTAAAGGTAAATCGGTTAACGAACGTTTGAGAACTTAATACATTTTTGGTCAAACGATTGAGAACACTTAAAATTGATAAATAATAATAAAATAAAATAATAATATTGTAATAAATTAACAGAATTTTATCACGTGTTATAATATTTAATGTTAATGTTTAATATTTTGTCTTTCGGTTATTTTATTTTTCACATTGTTTTACCATAGCTTATTACATTTTAGAAGCATCTTCGAATTCTTCATGACTTGAAAATTGTAAACCAAAAAAACGACAATTCTAAGCCACTTTCTTAGGGTCATCAAACTTTTTAAATGCATTTTGAAATTTATTTTCGCTACTTCACAGGACTCGTATCAAATATTATTATTTACTACCTGTCTGTTCGTTATTGATTTAAATATACATAAACTATAAATTTTAAATTCTATAATAATCTTAATAGTATGAAAGTAATGCTAATAATATTTTATCTTTGGCTAAATAAATGAGGGTAAACAAATACGTTCTACAGCTAATCAGAAACCTTCTCCATACATCCCTGATTTGAGATTTCAGTTTTTTTAAAAATCATAAATAATAATATAAAGGTAATCTATCCACGTGTTCCAGTGAGTCGATACGTTTTTATTTATAATATATTATTTGTTCTTATCTTTATGTTTTTATAAGACTTGACCCCAGACTTTTTTTAATTATAATCCAGGGCTTCGTTCAAGTAGAATATAAAAAGAATTATAAAATTAATATGATTATTCGTTTAATTGAATCTGGGTGAAAGTTAAGAGCTGATAATATTTGATCCGGAGGGTTGCATTTTACTTTAAAGTTTCAATTAGTGTGGCATTATAAATTATAATATTATGGTATACACTATTATTTTTAGGCGAACTCCGCATTTCAAACGAAGGCACATAGGACCATTCTTCCATTTTTGTAAACTGATAAAGTATTAACTTTGGATAAAATTAGAAACAAAATCAAACTGAAAATAAATTAAAGTTATAGGGGATCTTGAAATTTTCAACGCCAAAATATAAGTAATGACAAGAATGATAAAACTATAACGATAAGTTGGTCGCAAAAACTTTTGGACAGGAAGATTATTTATTGGTTAGATTATTAACATTACTTTGTGGACCTACATATTTACAGTGACGAAATCGTAAAAGAAAAAAGTGGATGGGCTGTGTTTGTTACAACAGCAGTACAAACATTACATCCGAAAAACGATTCAGAACGAAACTTGATTTTTCAAAACATTCAAAATAAACAAGTAAAAAAAAAAACGTTATTGGTTACGTCTATACATGGTTGTGAGTTTTCTAACATTTACTCGGAAGTTTAAATCACGAGTTTAACCAGAATAAAGTATAACTTCTATATATATAAACATATTGTATATAGAGTACCTAACCATAAGTGTTATTATATGGTTGATGTATATGTGATTGCAATTTGTGGAGCTATTCTACTATTAAAAGACCGTGACCCGACAAATCGTTTTGACTTTTATATTACAGTCAATCATATTGTAATCTTCATAAAGTTGTACTGCAATGCGACAGAATAAGCAGTTTTACTATTGGCCAAAACTTTTCCAGTTAGTAAAAGTGTTATTGACTGCACCTCAATACTTATGGAAAATTTATCGCAGGTGGTATAGATTATTTTATAAGAAATTTCCTATAAATATTTTATATAAAAACGTGTAAGACTTTACTGGGAGTTGTGACCTTACAGGACTGCTCGGATCGATTGCAGACGGTGCAAAAAAAGTTTTTCTACAATTTGTAATTCAAAAATCAGAAAATACGACTCTGACTTTTTTGATGACCTTATAAACTTGTTATGGTATATTGTTGTCAAGTATAATATTACAAGTTTTATACTGGTTTAATGTAAGGGAAGCGATACGAATGCCCGGTATCAAGTACCTATTTGTTAGCGTTTATATCAACTAAATCGATAATTTGTTGAATTGAATCGACTTTATATTACTTTTTTACGTACCAGAGAGAGTGATTGCAACTTTTTCGACGCCTCCTAATGGTTCCAACGCGTCCCTGGCTTTGCTGCCAAATAATTTTTCCAAGTAGTTTGGTCCATGACTAGCTAAAAGTGACTGTAAAAAACTTGCTGTTTCTTCAACCGGTGGTCGTTTAGCTGAAAATCATATAAAATAATATTATTGGAATATCAAAATAATATAAAACAATTAACCGACTAAATTTTGTATTAATTAATACATTTAACCAAATATATTTTTTTAGGTCAAATATATGTATTAAATTTGATAAAACCTAAACGTGAATAAAATAATGTTTTTATGTTTATTTTAAAGATAAATAAGATRAATAATATTCGTATTATGTTTTTAAATTTCAAATTATAGCTACCTAGGTATATAAGTAGTGGATCATATTTTTTTTTTATTTATATCGTTTTCACTTAACACATAATTTTACTTGCCAAAAAATGATCGACCTATACTATTAACTATAATATGAAAATGTGTTGTACTTATAATCACTTATTATTTTACTGAAAGTTTAAGGCAAATTGCAAAATTTTTTATGAATTCGTTAACCATAAAAATATCAACTGAATTATGTGAATTAGTATTTGTCACGTAACTTATCATAAATATTTCATAAGTATTAGTATGATGTGTAAATATACATTATATTAGCATGTCGTAATTTATTAATTTTATAGAAAAATAACTATTAATATTATGTAAATACCTCTTTGAATCAGTTTATAAGTTATTTATTTATTAATTATTTCTTTATTCATAAAGTTGCATTATTATATTATAATTATAATTATTGCATTATTTAAATAGCATTTGCATAGTTGATATTTATTAATATTTTTATTTTCGATTAAACATATTGTTTAAAAATATATATATATATATTATAAACCTTGCATTAAAAAAATAATTTAAAATAAAACGAATGACAGTTCACCAAAATTTTTTCAAGATATTGCTGATAGTTGTTGGAGCGTACATAGAATATTTCTATTATGTAATTAATATACATATGTATGTTTTATTTGTTTTGTCGATAAAATGTATTTTCTTTTTCAAAAATTAATAATAAATTCGAAAAATGTGATGGTAAAATGTTGTGATATCGTCAGGCATATTTCTACAGATATTAAAGTTTTCTCGAACATTAATTTAGGTACCATAATATTAAATTAATTAATGTTAACATATAATAAGTCGTTCAAATATTGATTTAAGTAGAATTTACAATCTAATAAACTTTTTAAGCAGTATATGGCTACAGATAAAATGTTTTTATAATTCTAATTTATAATATAAATTATTGTTTTGCTCAACTAATTCAGATTTTAGAATATAAAATGTAATTTATCAAAAGTTTAATACCTATACGAAATATTTTAAGTGGAACTTAAATTATTTATTAAGGTTGAATATTCGGAGAAATGTAAAATATTAATAGTAAAATAATCATAAATAATAACTGTTAAAGAGTAGACATTTTAGTAAATTAGTTGACATTGAAGACTCTATATATATGCACGTACTGACGAACTTAAAATAGCCTCTATTGACCTCATTAAAATATGAAGTTAATGTTGCTTGAATTAATTTAAAAATAAAATAAGTTGAACCTTAAGTAAATATATAGTATATAGACATATGGGTTAACGTATGTATTAAGAAATTTGAATTTGTTTAGTTAGGTATCATAAACTATTTTGTCATATTAATACTTGCGGAGTTAAACATATTATAGGAGATTATATTAAGTTAATCACTTTATCTATTAAAGGATTAAGAAACTTTGCAGTTATTGTTTATTATTCTGTGAAATACGTTAATAATTGTGTTTTAACAAATATTATAATATATACGGCATACGTGTAGATAAGCGTAGTAGTTTAAATAGATTAAACGACAAAAAAAAATCCTTATCTAATAAATAGATAATCTAAGGACTAATACAAATCTTATGTAATGTGCTTGGAAAAAAAAACGTCAACACCAAAGTTTGGCTATTCAAAATATACATCAAATAAATATAGAACAGTTATGTTACCCGCAGTGCAAAGTCTGGCATCTTCATCATAACCATCTGGACAATCGGGTGCTCCGTCACATAAATATTGAATAGAAATACAAGCGCCGTTTCCAGGACATTTGAATGGTTCATATGGGTGACACGGTTCTCCTAAAACGAATTTAAACACTTTCTATTAATAAATCTTTATAATGCAACTAAAAATTTGGAGTTCATTTCCAAACTGCTTAAAATAATAGATTTCAAATAATAATATCAGGCACCAGGTATATACCTATATATGTATATAAATTATCAAAAATCAATTTCATATTTTATAGTTTCTACCAGTTGACATATTTTATGCCTTCGATTTGATTTTTTTCAATCATTTAAACATCTACATTATGATAATTTTCTATTTTTTTCAAAGTATAATAATTACTACATAATATCGTCACTTTTAGAAAATATGTTTTTATTATTCACATCACAGGGATGATTGCGAATTTCCTGCAAACGGTTTCATATTTTTTTTTTTTTAGTAGACTATTACGTTTTATTTAGTGATTATAATTCTTCGTTTTGTTTGTCTCTTACAAATATATTAATTTGACATTAAGTAATTATTATTTTATATTCGATATCCACCCCTAGTGACTCGTGTATTAGGTTATAAGTGTATAACACGCGTACTGGACGTCACCCACCAATCATATCCCAATCGTTTAATAATAACAGTCTCTATCGGAAATTTATGGATCCACATCCGTTTCGCACTGCCGTGTAGTGCTGTCGGTTGTGAAATAATTTCGTTTGATTACGGTCCGATTTCCTATTTCTGAACGACAATATAATAATGTGTACCTACCACGAGCACCTATTATTGTGACAGCGTTGTCATTTTACCGGCTATATCAACGTGTCAAGTCAAAATCGACATTTTGTTGAAATACATATAACGATATAACCATTAATGGCGCTCGCCACATAAACCGACGACTGCGCGTTCATTTATTAATTATTTAATTTTACAACTTTAACCTTCCTATACCGTGGTAAAATGACGTATTTTGTAAATTTCATCGCCGTACTCAATAATTCATTACTATTAATTGATCTGTTCTCTGTTATACGGAGTTACACGTACGGAGGCATACTACCTATACGTAAAGCGTAAAATATACTTGAGTAACCTAATAAAGATTTTTTGTCCAAAGCCTAGACGAAATAATGCAATAGGTATAGTCGATGACACGGTTGCAGGAGCGACGAGTTATTTTATTGAATTTTTTTTTTTTACTAAACATAAACAACTATCCGCGGCGTCTATGGCCATTCGATGTAACAGCATATTATCTATTAGTATATTTACATATTACATTAATATTTAAAAGATATACAAAGTATAATTTAGTATTTAAAACAAGACAAAGTAGTAATAATTAGGAGTTAAGTGATTAGTAGTATTATTTACAATTTACAGTTTGTTTATAAGATTCGTTTGTTTGAGAAATTGTATGATCTTGTGTATATTGTTGGGGTCCGGGTTGAGTACTTCAGCGAGGTGGTTGGATATTTGATATAGCCTTCTTTCTTTGTCGTATATTCTGCATTCGGTTAAGGTGTGTTTCACAGTAAGGAATGTTCCGCAACATGTGCAAACTGGGGGGACTTCCTTCTTCATTAAGTGGGAGTGTGTAAGGTGGGTGTGTCCAATTTTGAGACGGTTTATAGAGGTCTCGTGTTTTCTTGAGATGTTATCTGGAGAAGGATACGGTAAGGCGGATCTCTTGATTTCGTTAAGTTTGGTTGACATTTCATTTTATTGAATTTATTCAGATGGAAATAAATAATTTATGAAAATACATATTTTATACACCGACACCATGCTAGCAAAGACTAGAATTTAAAAAAAAATATTATTTTGTCATAATGTTGTTCGAATTATGAATATGTAATATTGTGGTCATACCGATATCATAATATCAAATATTAAGTACCAAAGCAAAAACCACAATTTTTTGGTAGTGTACATTCTACAAAATTCGTACATAAATTTTTAATGTGACGTTTTAGGAAATGTAAGAGAACAGTAACGCAGCGGAAAAAAGAAGACATCCTTAACATCATTTGTACTGAAACTAATTATTGTGCGCCCAGTGGCGTATTATTAAGGTTTTTCCGCCTCTAGGCACTTTCCAATTCGCCGCCTCACTCCCCCTTCATCCTTCCTACAAATATTTCTAAAACGTATTTAAATATACAATTTATATTATATTATAATATTATATTAAAAAGATACATTGAGATATATGTAGATATATGATTAATTTTGAGCGAACAAAAATTAGTTGAGTTTGATTTCATCAAATGAAAAATAATTTTTCTAATTTTGTAAAAAAAAATTGTTGAAATTTGCCGYCCTCCAATGTTGCCGCTCTAGGCCCGGGCCTATAGGGCCTGTGCCTAAATACGCCTCTGTGTGCGCCAAGTTACGATACTCGCACCGTTTCAACCCAAATGATGTGTACTTATAGACATGAGTAATGAATTGCACTCATATTGTTTGGTAGTGTTACATTCGTAATGATTTTGGTTTTTATGTAGAAATTANTTTTTTTTTTTTAATTAGATACAATAAGATGTTCCTAGCCTTGGCTATCTACATCTATTGATATTACAATGGATGGTACATTTTTAACAATTTTAACATGATTAACGTCTGTATAATAATAATAATGTACATAATATATGTTGTAATTCAATAACGAGCATTAACTGAGAACGAGGATTCAATGACGGTGTGGTTAGCAGATTTCGTGTAAATTAATTGCTACTACGTTTGAAATTAAACTCGAGCATCGATAACCTGTTGTGAAAGATAAACGGATACATTGCAAACGTGTAGATACAGAGGATATTGTGAACTCAGGTAATACATACTGATTTGCCATATTGCAGTTCAAAGCTTATTATAAATAATTAATAGTTGATGGGGTTTTAGACTGTTCATGCAAACCACTTTATAGATGGGTGGGTACACATAAACAATTTAATCGACTATATAATTAATTAATCATTCAACAATAGAAATTTAATATTTTCATACACAATATCCAGGCTTAGGCGTTACGCGATCGTACCAAAATAACCTCTGTCCTATAATATATTAAACATTAAAATAGACTACTGCATAATAATTACATATAGTTCATATTCAGAATGATTTCATAAAATCGGGAATTTCTAAATTCTGAATAATTATATAAATTTAAGAATTCTGTTGTGATAGTATTTTTTACACGTTCAGTAAGTTAGCCATGTAACTGCGCCAAAGATTTTCGATAACTTCTCGAATTTAGACTCTTACATGTATTATTTTTTCAATTAAAATCACATTTCTGAGCAATAAAGTGTCGCTTTAAATTAAATTTAGAATATTATAATAAATATATAGTTTAATTTTTGTTAGTTATATTAGTTATAATAATGTTTGTACAACAATCAAACTAAAATTAATTGTTTAAATGACAGCAAACTATAATTTCAAATGTTCGATTGCATAGAAGTAATGACTGACTAATTTTGAAAATGGTTTTTTATTATTTATACTTAGCTTATGCAATAAATTTGAAAACGCAATTTTTCGTACATTTAATTATGCAAAAATTTTAAATCAGTCGATTATTTACGGAGTTTTAGCTTTCAACTGTAATTTATTACTCGTATATGGAATTGTTATTTGGTTTCCGCTCACATAGGTTACTTTTAATATAATAATTGTCATTAGATCTTTTTTTGTAGTGAAAAAATTCATTTTTTTTTTTCAGGAAATTAAATTGAAAAAAATTTATATCCGTAAACTGTATTCTAGACTTCTGCAGAATTAATTAGTTAAAAATCCACGAACTGTAAACTATTCCAATACTCTAAAATATAAATTAAATAAATTTTCTAATTCAGATAGTTTGTAATAGTTTGTTAGAAAAGTATACGAATAATATATTTTTAATATCTATTATTTACCAGAATTATTGGATTAGACTATTTGAATTGCTTTAGTTATTGTTTATTCGTCATATTTAACAAGTTTTTAACAAACGAATTTTCCATTGTTTATAAACCATAAAGTTTGTTCATAATTTGATTAAATATTTAGATTGGTATAAAAAAATAATTTCGAGAATTGGAATTATGCAAACTTTCAAGTTTCAGATAGCTTGGCTTCCTAGGTAGCTGAACGTCTGAATCAGAATTCAGGAAATTTTTAACAAAATAACTATTTATTTCCCGTCACTAAAGGTAATAACACATATTATTTATGATCAAATAAGACACTTAATCTTTTTCAAATAATTTAGTATCGTATACATTATACGTATATACACAATATAACCTTATTCGCAATATATTTTCATATTACTAAAACGACGAAGGGATTGGTTCATTATTAAGTTTCTGTAAATCGTGTTATTTATAATATTATAACCTTATATAGTATATAGTTATACCTATATACTTATTAAATACACAATATACATACATATTTATTTCTTGCATACCAATACTTTAATACCGAAGCTTTATAAATTAAAGATCCAGAAGCGCCCAACTTCCTGATATAATAAAGATTAAAATCATATGATATTGTTGTAGGTATTTATAATCTCGCTAACAAATACTCAGTTATATCAAATTTAAACATGTAAATACCATTTGAAAAATATATAGGTACAAACCGTATAACCATATAGGTAGGTAAAACCAAAATAAAATCGTTAAATAAATTGAAAAGAGTGATGTTTTCTTAAAATATATACATACACATAGGTATGATCTGATAAGTTATTTCAATATATTTATTTACATAATTATAAATTAATTACCTATCGTGTACACGTAAATAAACAAATATTTTTAATTTATTTATATAAGGTACAATACCATGTTGATATTTCATCAAGAGTTTAAGTGCATAAAATCATGAGTACATATAGCATGCAATTACATTTTTATTATAAGTAAGAAATATTTAAAACATATATTAAAATATCAACATAAACGTATATGCTTAAAGCGGTATCTGAAACTCGTACGAAAAATGTCATTATTATTTAAGACTAGAGTGTTTTTTAAAAAAGCTTTTCGACGGGCCATTTAGATTAAAA